TGAATATATATTAAAATCACTATATTTGATTAATACACATCTGTGTGAGCCCAAGAGTAAAGCAACATGCTGAGCTTATATAATATTTACTCATGTTCTTGTGTTATCTCCTAAAGCCCAGAAGACCCAGAACTGGGGCTGTCACTGCCTTCAATAGAATTATCATAGCTTAATTTCCCCCTTATCTCAAGATTGTTCTGAACCACCTTATCATATGCATTTAATTCTCTCCATATTCACTGTGTAATAGAGAATTCAAATTAAAATCACCAAGGTAGCAAAAGTGATATACATCACATTGGACACTGATCAGACATTTTTATTTAACACAGAAAATTGCTGGTGTAAATGATATTACAATAAATATACTTCAATTTAAAATGCAAGTCACTGAGAGGAAAAACTGGGAGCCATAAAATACCTTTCCTCTCCTCAAGGTTGTCCAAAGTTGGTGAGGATGGAGGGTGGGGGGTGTGGTGTTAAGAAAAGGACAAGGCTTTGGACTGGGTTGTTATCTTTATGATGCAATTTAATCTGGGATGCCACAAGCACGTGGAGCAGGATCGTTAGGAAATAACATCATAAAGAATCAAGAAAGGTCTAAAAGAAAACAGGAGAAACTGTCTTCAGGCTTTCTCTCTTCCATGCATACTTATGAGAGTATTACGTTAACCTGTCTGGTCATGGCCACAGGAACAGGAGATGCTTTAAGGAAGTGTTGAGTTGGGGTCCACTCAGGATGCAAGAAAAGAGACCAAACATATATTGGATATATTGCATGGGCTAGTTTATGTATATCATCATATTTAATCCTTAAATAACACTGTATGATGAGGGGATATTATTCCTAATTCACAATTGAGGAAACACAAGCTAGAGATATGGAGTAAATTGTTCAAGCTCATGCAGCAAGTGAGTTTGACACCAAAATTTGACTCCAAAGCTCTCTTTCTATGACACCATGGTCAAAAGGAGGGGAGCATGCCCCCTCTGAATTTCACCAAAATTCTGCAGTTCTTTTGTGGGTTGTGGCATCCGAGGGAAAGCAGAAATAGAGAAGAGAATCCCAAGACCCAGGACAACCAAGTGAGAACTAAGTGAGAACTACTCTTCTTTCTAGGGGTATCTGTTGAGTCGATCATAGAAAAACAATAGAGGAGGGCTGGGCGCAGTGGCTCATGCCTATAATCCAGCACTTTGGGATGCTGAGGCTGGCGGATCACCTGAGATCAGGAGTTGGAGACCAGCCTGACCAACATGGAGAAACCTAGTCTCTACTAAAAATACAAAATTAGCTGGGCGTGGTGGTGCATGCCTGTAATCCCATCTGCTTGGGAGGCTGAGGTAGGAGGATTGCTTGAACCCAGGAGGCAGAGGTTGCAGTGAGCTGAGACTGTGCCATTACACTACAGCCTGGGCAACAAGAGCAAAACTCCATCTCAAAAAAAAAAAAAAAAAAAAAAAAAAAAAAAGCAAAGCATAGAGGATACACTCTGGACACCATAGTTTGGCACTCTGAACATGAACTAGAGCAAAATCAGGGAACCAAGTCTAAAAATGATAGTTTCTGATTGCTTTGAAAAAGTGAGGACTGCCCACAGCTAGCAAGATTTCACTCAGAGTAAGTCATTTTCCTACTTGGTGGAGTTTCCAGATGAGCAGGCAAGCAACAGCCACAAATGCAGAACCTTATCTGGGCATTTGACAAGGTGTCACAAGATCACCTTGGCAATGAGGTGGGAAATGCATGCTGGACCAGGCTGCAGGCAGGTGGAGTTGTATTCTCCCTGTATTCTGCATGCATTCCAGTATACATTTGAACCAGGTTGTAGGCAGATGTTCCAAATGCATGCATCCCTCTTCTGGTGAAGTGGGCCTGAATGCTCAGAGTCAGCAAGTCCTAGCACTGGATGAGGATCTGGGCTGAGAATCAGGCTGCTGAGAGATTCTAGCAGTTGCTTTCCACAGGGTGTCTGAAGATTCCTTGCTAAGTCTCCTCCCATGGCCTAGTAGGCATGTGATGGGGGAGTTGGTTAAAGACTTTCAATGGGTCCCTTTCACCTAAAGTCCCCATTCCTTATCAGGCATTTCAGACTCCACAATCAAGCCCTGACTGCTTCCCTACTTTCTGTTAGTCTACCAGACTCTGTGCTCTCACCAAATCTGTGTTTTGGACTTGCACATTGAGGAGGCCTCATAGAAACCTGCTGTTGCCTCTTGGAGCACAAGGCAGTAAGAGAAACACTGGCCTTGGGCCCAGAGACCTGGGTTCTCTTTAGCTTTCTTTCTTCTGAAATAGTTCTTTAGTTTGTCTTTCGTGACATTGACGTTTTGTACAGGCCGATTATTTTGCAGAATGTCTCTCACTTTAGGTTTGCCTGATGTTTCCTCAGGAGGAGGTACAGGGTACGCCCTTCTGGCAGAACCAGCACAGAAGTGGGGGTGGACCCTCCTCAGTGCATCATATCAGGACATGCATGAGGTCATTATGTCCCATATTGGTGGTATTAGCTTTGATCACTTGGTTAAGGTTGTGTCTGCTACATTTCTCAGCTATAAAGATATTTTTTCCTGTGGAATTAATCAGTCTATTGTCAGGAGTTACTTTGTGACCACATACATATCTTGTTATTTCAACCCACTAGTATTAACATTCATTAGTGATTCTTGCGTAAATCAATTATTTGGATGGTTGCTAAATGGTGGTTTTCTAATTCCACTATTCCTCCTGCACTGGCATTTTACTGTAAGAAAGAGCCTTCCCCTTTCTTGCATTTGTTTGTTCATTTAATTAACCAATATATTTATCGGTTTTAAATCAGTTTAGACTCATAGACTACAAATGTATGAAATTAGTTATAATCCCTTATTTGCTTTTATGTTCAAGTTGTCCTCAGCTTTTATTGGTGGGAGACCTTACATTGGCTGTGCTGTCCCTTTGACATGTGCCATTCTTTGAACACTTCCTTACTTTTTGGTACCACAAAATGTTCCAAGTTTATCTTGTGTTTTCTATCCGCAGCCCCAGATTCAACCATTTTTCTAAGGAGCTCTTTTAGTACAAAATGGTGCTTAGAAGCCAAACTTAGGATGCTAGTTTTTATTATGGCTACTGGGGTATAACTAGTTCTAGGCCCTCTCAGCAGACAGGGCTAAGATAGAGTTGCATGTGTATCTATATAAATATCCACACTCTATCTATCTATCTATCTATCTATCTATCTATCTATCTATCTATCCACCCACCTACCTACTTACCCACCCATCCATCCATTTATCCATCTATCCACCCATCCACCCACTGTATCTATCCTTTTTACCTTATCTATTCATGAGTTCACCCTGATACCTTTAATTCCAATCCCATATCACAGGACATTTGTAACTTCTCTCTGTCCACATTTGTAGCTTCTTTCTCCAACAGTGAAATGCTTGACTTCCATTATCTATAAGATATTTACTTATTGCTCAGTGCTAGTATACACAGAAAGTAGTTTCAGAATTGCTACCCTGTGTATCAGGAAAAAGAAATCTACTTACTAGAGTAGAATATTTGTTTAGAGTTTAATGTTTTGTTTTCCATATTTCGCAGTTGCAAGCAATGCAGCCATCAACAATCTTTCAAACATGAAAATTCCTATTTCTAGCTTCTTGTGAGGAATTAGAAGGTGTGGCCACTCTCCCCTTTGGACAGGGCATGTATGCTCCCCCAGGGCTGCTTGTCTCAAATGGCTCCCCTTGTCATTATGACAAATAATCTCTCCTTGTTCTTGTACATTTGACCTCACTTTACCTGGGTCCTTGCCATTCACAAGAGGACTGCTGCTACTAGCCACCTCTATCTCCTCTTCTCCTAGTCTCTCCTGAATGCATAGCCAATCCAGTTGTCAATACCACTGCTTCAACACAGCCATTCTCCCAGATGTCACCAACAAAGCCATTCTCCCAGACATCACATTGTTGAACTGCACAGATGTGATTTTTCAGTCTTCATCTAACTCTAGTACTAAACTCTAACTCTTAATGCTGGGGACCCTTCATCTTTCCTGTCTTCTGTGACAGAAACTACTCTGGTTCCTCCTATTTCTTGGGTCTTCTTGAACTTCTTTGTAAGCTGATTCTCCTTTGTAAGGCTGTCAAAGCCTGGGGCTCCTCAGGGCTCATCTCTCCTTACAACTCTCTCTCTCACTGTCTCTGTGATCTCATTTACCCCTATGGATACCTTCATTTATTACCTACAGGTCACTCGCAAATGTCTCTCTCCAGTCCTGTATTCTCATAGGTCTCTCAAACTCAGCATGTGTGAAGGTAAACTTGTCTATTCCCCAGATCTGGTCCTCCTTCAGGACTCTCTCTTTCTAGTGGGTAGCACTCTCTCTTCCTCACATTCAATCCATTACCAGGTCAATTTTACCTTCTAATTACACCTTCCACTGTCAACATCCATTTATTGCCATCATCACCCTATCATCAAAAATATTGCTTCAACTCCCTCTGAACTGGTTTTTCTTCATCCGCTCTTCTCTCTCTGTGTGTGTATGTGTTGCAGGGTGGGCGCATATATTCTCATCTTCTCACAGCTCTAGGATTAAAAAGCACATTTTTCACAAATGGCCTGCAAGGCTCTCATGGTTTGCCTCTTTCTGTGTCTCTTGCTTCACCTACTGCAACATGTTCCTTTGCTCCCTGCCTGCTGGTCATTCCTCAGTGGCCACGTTCTCTTCCACTACAGAGTCTTTGCATATGCACTTTCTTAAGCCAAGAATGTTCTTTTTCTGAATCCTCTGACTCCAGCGAACTTCACCTTTAACTTAAGAAATACCTCATCATTCTCCTCCAGCTCAGTCCTTAACATCCTCAGAGAAACCTTCTCTGGACCCTCTGTCTCCATTAGAATGTCACACTGTTCACACTGATGGCACTGGGAGCGTCCCGAGTGGTATATGTCACCTTGGTAATTTTTGTCTCTGTGGGATTCAATTAGTGTTTGTCTCTTCCAGAACCACAGGGGCTACTTCTGCTCCCATGTATCCTTGCATCAAGTACAACACCCAGCAGAGATGGACACGCGATAAGAGATAAGGTGAATGAATGGAGGCTGCATGGCATGGTGGTTATGAGCACGGACTCTGAGGCAAACTGGCTCTACCACTTCCTGGCTGTGTGATCTCAGGCAAGTTATTCAATGTCTCTGAGCCTTAGCCTTAGCTTCCTCATCTGTAAAATAGGGAGAATTGCAGTACCCACCTGGTAGGGCTGTTATGAAAATTAAATCAGTTCATGTAATGCACTTAGAGCATTACCTGGTAAACAGTAAGGATGACATAAGTGTTTGTTAAATACAGAAAATAAACAAGTGCTAAATAGTTGTTAACTAAATATTAACCGACAAAGTTCAATTTGAAATAAACACAAGTGGATTATTGCTGAAATATAGGCCAATAATTAAATTATATTGATTAGAAGTAACAAACTAAATAACAGTAAACAGAATTTAAGTGTAATTCAATCTCTGTTAGTAAGTTTGTTGGGAAAACAAGCATTTACAACTGGGAATACATCCAACATCTTAAGAGAAATGTAGGCTCAAATTCTTTACATATTCAATGAATGCTTTAGGTATGTCCAAAGCTACTGACTAGTCATATGTTGTGCTGAATCATTTTCTGTCAAAAATCAGCAAAATAGGAATAAAAATTCCAAATGAACTTTTTAAAACCACCTACATCCACCACACAAATTCATCCATCAAGCCTTTGAGAATCTTCTCTGTGAGAACTTGCATAGCATGTGACACAAGCCAAAGATGTGCCCATGATCAAAGAACCACACTCTAAAGTACAGAAAATCCACAGATAACACACAATTGTACCAGCCCATATCTAATTCCCAAACGTTCTTTCAAGTAAAGGAGTGTGAAAAAAACAGCTGAGTTCAACATTTTATCTCTTGAGCACTGATGACTTTGGTAATGTATTATTAACAATGAAATCTACAGATATAAGTTCCTTTTTATATAATGTACACTTTTTTCATCATAAAGGGGTCTGTTATCACAGGACTAAAGATAGTTAAAAGTTTTCATATATTATAGTGCCTCTGTCAGCTTTTAAGGTTATGTTGTTATTTCAGGAGGAAAAGGAAGACATCAACGAAGGGAGGACAATTGTAGTTTGAAGAAAGAATGCTTTTGAAAGGGGGAAAGAGTGCAAGGCCAATAAGGAGTTAGTGCTACTGCAGCAAACCAGGAAGACACTATTAATTTCTATTTAAAGTTACTAAACAAATTGCTTCAGCGTGCTTAATTTGATTTATATGCATGTAATATTGAATGAAAATTGTGAATTGTTTTAGTGAAAATACACCCACAGAAGAGAGATTTAGTTTTCTTAATGAAAAAAAGAAAGCTTGGGACCAAATTTTCATTCAGCCTTAATCATGAGTTGATTCAGATGGAGAATAAAGGCACTGTTTAAATTATCTGTCCCTGGAAAGAAGATGGGTCGGGTTATGGCTCAGTGCACAGATCAGCTGGCTGTGGGTAGCAGTGGGTGATGCCTGGCTGTGCAGAGAAGGAAAATTCACTCCACATACTCTCATGGTGGCAAGTGGGTCCACTCTGCTTTATCAGTCTCACCTCTACGCTTGAGTCCTCCCCATCTTGTCAGCCTTATGTTCCTCCTATGCACTGGAACGTGATTCTCCTCCATTGCCGGCTTTTACCCATGCTGCTTTCTCTGTATATATGCTGCCTAAACTGTGCCTGGCTAAACCTCCTCCTGGGAATTTTCCCCAACTGCAGTTGGAAGATGCCCTTCCTTTGCACCTAGTGCCACAATCACCTGCTACCGTGTGGTAGGTCTCTCACCACCTATGCTATGCAATCGTTTTGGGTAGGAGATGCAATTTAACCAACTCTATTTTCAGCAATAGTGCTTGGAAGATGCAGTAAATATCTGTGGAATGTTGAAAGGTGGCAACCCAGTGTATAACACCAACATAGGTAGAAGAGTCCATTCTGAACTTTCAAAAATGACCAAGTACTTTCCATGGAGGGATGACTGAAAATAAAGGCAAGAGGGTGATTGAGGTCATATGTGACGAAAACCCCTCTACCTACTAATATTCCAAATGACAGAAATTATATATAATATAAACATATAATGTATCCAATGTGATCAACTATCTATGCATGCCATGGTTATCATGGCGTTTGGGGACCAGGAGTACCCTGTGAAACCTCACTGGGCCATGCTGAAGCTTCTCCTGAGGCTAAAGGAGAGCCTGCAAGTACATCAAGTGTTTTAATAACACTGTGTAGGTAGACCTGTCTGAGAAGCAGCACATTCTACAAAGTAGAGTACAAGCCCTGCTCTCTGGTAAATCTCACAACAAAGACAACACCTTGTGTAAATAGAAATAGAATGGCTGAATCATATAGTAATATAGTAAATGCATATTTAACTTTCTTTTTTTTTTGAGATGGCATATCAGTCTGTCGTCCTGATATCACCGTCTTATACTTCCACATCTTGTCCCACTAGAAGGTCTGTAGGGGCAGAAATACGCATGGAGCTGTCATCTATGACACTGTGCAGTGGTGCAATCATAGCTCACTGCAGTTCTGAACTCTTAGGCTTACGTAATCCTCTTGCCTTAGCATCCTGAGTAGCTAGGACCACAGGCATGTACCACAAAGCTTGGCTACTTTTTTTCAATTTTTGTAGAGATAGGGTCTTGCTATGTTGCCCAGGTTGGCCTCAAAGCCATCCTCTCATCTCAGCCTCCCAAAGTGTTGAGATTACAGGCATGAGCCATGCAATTGGCCATATTTAACTTTTAAGAAACTGCAAAGTTATTTTCCACAGCCATTCCACTATTTCTATCCCCACCAACAGTGTATGAAAATTCCAATTGCTTCAGGTCCTTAGCCATACTTGGTATAATCAGTTTTTAATTTTAGTCATTCTAATAGGGGTACAGTGGTATCTCACTGTGATCTTCATCTATATTTCCCTAATGCTATGAGAAGTCATTTCCATATGTCTTCTTTGGTGAAGTGTCTGTTCAAATATTTGGCCCAGTTTTTCACTGGGTTGTTATTTTGTTTCATTTTGTTTTTTGAGACAGGGCTTTGCTTTGTTGCCTGGGCTGAAGTGCAGTGACATGATCTGGGCTCACTGCAAGCCTCCCAGGTTCAAGTGATTCTCATGCCTCTGCCTCCCGAGTAGCTGCGATTACAGGTGTGCACCACCATGTCCAGCTAATTTTTGTATTTTTAGTAGAGACAGGATTTTGCCATGTTGGCCAGGCTGGTCTTGAACTCCCAGCCTCAAATGATCCACCCACCTTGGCCTCCCAAAGTGCTGGGATTACAGGCATGAGTCATCACGCCTGGCTAGAATTTATTCCTTCTATCTTACTGCATGTTTATACCTTTTAACCTAGTTCTCTTCATTCTTCCACTTCCTCCCCAACTCACCCTTCTCAGTCTCTGTTAACTATCTTTCCACTCTCCACCTCCAAGTGTTCAAATTTTTTAGCTCCCACATAAAAGTGAGAACATGTAATATTCATCTTTTTGTGTCTGGCTTATTTCACTTAAGATAATGATCTCCAGTTCCATCCACGTTGCTGTAAATGACATGATTTCATTCTTTTTTATGGCAGAATAGTATTCCATTATGTATATATACCACATTTTCATTATCTATTCATCCATTGATGGACACTTAGGTTGATTCCATATCTTTGCTATTGTGAATAGTGCTGCAATAAACATATGAGTGCTGGTATCCCTTTGATATATTGATTTCTTTTCCTTTGGGTAGATACCTTGTAGAGAGATTGCTGAATTAAATAGTAATTATAATTTTAGTTTTTGAGATATCTCCATACTGTTTTTCATAATGGCTGTTCCAGTTTACATTCTCACCAATAGTTTACAAGAGTTCCCTTTTCTCTGCATCATCACCAACATTGGTTATTTTTTGTTATTTTAATAATAGCCATTCTGAATGGGTAAGATGATATTTCATGTTGGTTTTGATTTGCATTTCTCTGATGTTAGTAATGTTTAGCAGTTTTTCATATACCTGATGGCCGTTTGTATATGTTTTTTTTTTGAGAAATGTTCTAAACATATCTAAACACAGAAAAGGTACAGTAAAAAACATGGTATAAAAGATAAACATGCCAGGCACGGTGACTCACGCCTGTAATCCCAGCACTTTGGGAGGCTGAGACAGGCTGACCACAAGGTCAGGAGTTCAAGACCAGCCTGACCAACATGATGAAACCCGTCTCTACTAAAAATACAAAAAATCAGCCAGGCATGGTGGTGCATGCCTGTAGTCTCAGCTACCCGGGAGGCTGAGACAGGAGAATCGCTTGAACCCGGGAGGTGGAGGTTGCTGTAGGCTGAGGTCACGCCACTGTACTCCAGCCTGGGTGACAGAGCGAGACTGTCTCAAAATATGTACACAAACACTATACTTTGATAGGACACTTACCATGAATGGAGCCTGCAGGACTGGAAGTTGTTCTAGGTAAGTCAAGGCGTGAGTCAATGTGAAGGACTACAATATTACTGTAGACTCCTACAGACTTTATAAACATTGTTTATTTAAACTACACTAAATTTTAAAAAATATTTTTCTTTCTTCAATAATAAATTAACTTTAGGTTACTATAACTTTTTTACTTTATAAACTTGTCAACTTTTTAAACTTTTGGATTCTTTTGTAATTATACTTAGCTTAAAACACAAACATATTGTACAGATATACAAAAATATTTTTCATCATATCCTTATCCTATAAGTTTTATTTTTAAATTTTTACTTTGTAAATTTTGTTAAAAATTAAGATACAAACACACATATTAGCCTAGGCCTACACATGATCAGGATCATCAATATCACCATCTTCTACCTCCACATCTTGTCCCACTAGAAGGTCTGCAGGGGCAGAAACATGCATGGAGCTGTCATCTATGATAACAATGCCTTGTTCTGGAATTCTTTCTGAAGGAGCTGCCTGAGGCTCTTTTACAGTTAACTTTTTTTTTTCTTTTTTCTTTTTGAGACGGAGTCTTGCTCAGTAGCCCAGGCTGGAGTGCGGTGGCGTGATCTCGGCTCACTGCAAGCTCCGCCTCCCGGGTTCACGCC